CTTTATCAATTCTTTATATTTTGAATTTCCTTAATAAAAATTCTGATTGCGCTACTGCGATGAGAGTTGTATAAATCAAAGTACATAGGATGTTTAAAGTTACATTAAGAAGGAACTTAAGAGTTGAAAAGTTTGATTGAATGATGAGTGATAACTAACATGATTTGGCTTTTTTTTCTAATATTTTTTATGAATGTTCTGATATTGCTTGTTGTATGTGTAAATATACCTACTGAATTAGCTCTATGTACTACTTCCGTTCCAATTTAAGCGACACTTTTTGAATTTCGAGATTCAAACAAGTCTATCTTTGATCGTAAATTTTTATATATATCTTTTAATTATTTTGAATTGTCAATTATTACGACTTATATTACTTTTAACGTAGTTTACAAATATATAAATTTAAATTTTGAAAAATATTAAAGATTGTACGTGCAAATTTTCGATCATACTTAAACTATTTGACTCTGAAAAATGAAAAATATCACATAAACTGAAATAGAGAAAGTAATAGTTAATTATTTCTCAAAAGATATAAGTACTATTTATATTAAATTTTTAAACATCATCAGAAAAGGGCATTGGATGTTGCATGACTTCGCATTTAAAAATTCTGAATTTGCCTTAAGAGTAATTGAAGAGCAAAAGTACACACACAAGAAGCTTGGATAAACACTATTTATCACATAGTAAAAAAAAATAATAACTTAAATTTTATAAAATTGAAATTTCAAATTTCAAACTAATATGAAGTTAAGTTGGACTTACAAAGGATTTGAAATAGGAAAAATTACAATTATTATTAAAATTGGGACTTGGTGATGGTGCAATAGAAATGATGACATTTTTTCATGACTTATGAAGTTACTAATCATAGTAATTATAGGTGACAAATGCATAAATTGAAGCTTTGATTGGAGCAAAAATGAAAATTATAAGGTTCAACTAACCTCAAAATTTAATTAGTGCTTCTTATTATTAACTCTTGACTAAGACAAGATAAGGTATGACTTGTTCAAATAGACTTGGTCAAAGATCACTTTTACAAAGACAGCAGTGAATAACATAGGTGTATGCAAAATTATTTTGGAAGAATTGTCACAATTTAGCTTATAAGTGGAATTTGATGCGCGGACTTGGTACAAGTTCAATAAAACTCAATAGTTTCGATTCAAAACATGTATATTGTTGAGAAATTCATTAAATATGTTAGTAGAATAAACTTCATAATATTGGACTAACATTTAAGATTTAGGTAAGACAGATGATTTCAAGAGAAAAGGGACAAATATATCTCCCGAACTATTGTAAATGGTATGCAAATGCCCTCTGTCACACTTTTGAAACATTGGTGCCCCTGTCATCCAAAAACTAGAGCATATATGCCCTTCACTCTAAAGAAGACTAAATAGGGAGACAGTCGATCCGATATTTAATAAATGTCAAGTTGATGGATAAGATTATGACACGTATATGTCCGTTAGTATAAACGGTATATATGTTTTAGTTTTTTGACGATAGGGGCACCAATGTCCTAAAAGTATGACAGAGGATATCTGCATACCATTTACGATAGTTCGAAGGTATATTTATCTTTATTTCTCTTTATTCTTTGTCTAGTACTAGCTTGTTTAGCCAAACTTTCGATGAGATTTGAAATTTCAGATATTATGAAAATATCAGAAATTAAAAAAAAATGAAGTGGTGTCAAATAATACCAAGCATTTATGTGTCACTATTTGATAGCAAAAGTCCTTTTAATGACCCCTCCATTACCCTCCAAATGACTCCATTGGCTTCCATTGTCAAGTTTAAAAGTCTTGGTCTTCCAAATTACAAGTTTAAAAGTCTTTATCATTTATGGGCGAATTTAGAGATTAATTGTATGTCACTCAAATCGTATCATCGAATCATTAGCTCTAATACAGGTTGTTGGATTAATATTTTTATATCGTATGATATTATCTGTTTTAAACTAAGTTAACAAGGTATTATTAAGAGAATCCTACATCTTATATATTAGTATCCATTAGTTAGCATTCTCAACAATAATCATATATTTTAATGTCCAATTGTTTTAATTTCATCAGTACTAAGGACAAAGGTAGACTCGATATGGGAAAAATGTACAATAGAAATGGTACTTATGATGTTACCAATCATAGTAAAAGGTAACAAATGCACAAATGTGAAGCTTACATTGGACCAAAAAAATTATGAGGCTCAACAAACCTAAGTGCATTAGTACTTTCCTATCTTTTAACTCATCAACGGAGGTTACTTAGATTGTCGATCTCAAATTTAAATTAAAAAGGAAAAGATAAAGTTATTCATATTTTATCTTTTTAAATCTCATTACACTGATATTTAACTCTTGAATAGTGTATGACTTTGTAAAAATGGACTTAGTCAAAGACCACTATCACAAAGACAGCAGTGACTTAGAGACTGACAAGAAGTGTCATCTTTTTGTCATCACAATTTAGCTTGTAAATTGAAAGTGAGTTCAAATTCAATAACTTTTATTCAAAAATTTTTATTATATTTGTAACTTTCAAATTCTAAATTCCTTTTTAAAATTAAGACTTTGATAATTTTGAGGCTTTATTTTTGAATTTATCACTTACTAAGTTTAGGAGATGAATAATTTATTTTTTATAAGAAATACGAAGCAGTGTCAGATAATACCAATTATTTATGTCACTATTTTGATGGCAAAAGTTATTTTAATACTCCTTAAAGGCCCCATTGGCTTCCATAGTCAACTTTATAAGTCGCGGTCTTCCTAAATAAATCCAAAGTGGAATTTGGGTATTAGAATTCTAGACCAAAGTTGACGTTTGATTTGGAAAATAAAATTTGGCTTAATATTGGCTATTAATATACAGAGTTTAGTTATTTATATATTTTATCATGTATAAAATAACACATAAATTTTCTCATAATTAATATTGTGTTTTAGTTATTTCATTTTCTATTTTACATAAAGTAATATATAGATTCTTTTGTAACTTGTATGTGTCTTAGTTAAAAGCAAATTTCTAAACTGCAAATCAATTTGACATTATACATAATTTATCTCATGACGAGACACTAAACATAATATTACTTGTGCAGAATTTGATATCTATTTAACTTTAACTCCAAACAACTATCAGCCCACTCCATATGGTTGACAAAATAGCTCTTCTAGGTGGGACCATCAAATTGGAAACCCCCATCTCCGTATAGAGTGTATTAATAATGCTTAAATTAAAAATATATTAATTAATTATACATAAATTATTTGAATGAATATCTTTAATGAATAATTATTAAATTTAGCGATATTTTTTATTTATTATCATTTATAACAATATTATGTTAAATTTGTAATATGTCTTAAAAGTGAATTAAGTATGCAATATATATGTATTATAACTATTTTTAAAAATATATTATGCTTATTTAATAAAAAGTTGACACGTTGTATTATAAATGTATGATTATACAATAAATGTACTATACATCAATAAAACTTGTATTATATGTGAATAATAAGTTATTTTCTATAATATGAATTAAAGGAGTATTATAAATGTATTAAAAGTGATCAAGTGAAAAAAGGTTATTTCTATAAATGATAAATATTTTTTATTTGTAGTATATTTATGTTTCTTTGGTATATCAAAAATAGCATGCATGATATACAAATATTTATTTATAAAAGATACCATTTACAATTTATGGTGGAAAAATGTAAAAAAAAAAATATGAAGAGAAATGAGGCCTTTAACCATGCTAATGCATGCATTATAAACCTTTAACCATGCTAATGCATGCATTATAAAACCTCTTGCATTACTAATACCTAGAAATTTATTAAATTAGTAATACGCATCTTAATACACAAAATAGTGTACAAATAACTTGATAAAATGTATTAAACGAAATATTACTAATACACAAAACTAATGCATGTATTATTGCTGTTAATACTCTACCAAACACCCTTAAAGTTCAACACCACCATATGAGGAATTCCACAACAACCAATTAAATGGAAAAAAAATCCCCATCAATCATGAAATAATGAATACCAAGACTATACATGAGGAAAAAACAACAAGAAGTTGGGTATATAAACTTCATAAAACTCCATCAAATTTTATACAAACACACATATCTCCTTCAACAAAAAACAAAGCCAAAAAATGATAACAAAACCAATATTTGGTTTTTCACTTCTTATTTTCATATCATTCATATTCAACCAAAACATATGTTATGCACAAAACCCACCAAGCATAACAGGATATACTTGTAATCCCAACCAATTCAATCCATGTCAAACTTATGTGTTATACAGAGCTAGAGGACCACAGTTTCTTGATTTAGCCTCAATTGGTGATCTTTTTTCAGTAAGTAGGCTAATGATTGCAAATCCTAGTAATATTTCCAACCCAAACACAACTCTTGTAAATGATCAACCCCTTTTTGTCCCCATCAAATGTTCTTGCAACAACATCAACTCAACATTTGGTAGCATATCTTATGCTGGCTTAAACTACAGTTTCAAAGCAGGTGACACTATGTATGATATGTCAGTAACCAAATACCAAAATCTTACTACTTATCAATCTGTTGAGGCTGTTAATCCCACAGTTGAAGCAACCAAAATTGCTATAGGACAGACCATAAAATTCCCAATTTTTTGCAAGTGTCCAACCACAAGACAAAATCAACCAAGACTACTCATAACTTATGTTTTTCAGCCTAATGATAACATTTCTTCTATCGCATCAAGATTCCGGATAACCCCACAATCCATAACACAAATGAATGGAAATAATATCAAGATTCTTGATACCATTTTCATCCCTCTTCCGAATCTACCTAATCTTACACGGCCAGCATCTTCAAACACCCCACCACCACCACCACCACCCACAGCACCAGCTCCAGTAATTCAAGAAAATGACAGAAAAGGGACTGTCATTTGGTTAGCAATTGGTTTAGGGGTTTGTGGGCTGCTGTTGATTTTGATTCTTGGTTTGTTTTACAAGGAGAAAACAGTAAAGAGAGAAAAGTATAGTGATATAGAAAGACAAAAAAGTTTGTATGTTGGATCAAAAAAGGGGTCTATTGTTGATAAAGATGTTGAAGTGAATTTGATGGCTGATTTATCAGACTGTTTGGATAAGTATAAAATGTATAAAATGGAACAACTTTGGGAAGCAACAAATGGATTTGATGAAGAGTGTTTGATTCAAGGGTCTGTGTATAAAGGAACAATTGATGGAGAAGTGTTAGCAATCAAGAAAATGAAATGGAATGCCCGTGAAGAACTCAAAATCCTGCAAAAGGTAAAGAAAAAACGTCACGTAAAATTCAGCATATATACGTATCCACTAGAGAATTTTTTTGTATACTACTATCCCTCATCCCAATTTATGTGACGTAAAAATCATTTCATTAAGGATAACATGAACACTTTAAAGTTAAACTGTTACTGGATAGAATATATGTCATTCTTTTCAACTTTTTTTGTTTGTGTAGGTGAACCATGGGAATTTGGTGAAGCTAGAAGGTTTTTGCATAGACCCTAAAGAAGCAAATTGCTACTTAGTCTATGAGTATGTTGAAAATGGTTCACTACATTCTTGGCTTCACGGTGAAAAACCTGAAAAATTGAGTTGGAAAACAAGACTAAGAATTGCAACTGATGTTGCAAATGGTCTTTTATACATTCATGAACATACAAGGCCAAGAGTTGTCCACAAAGACATCAAAAGTAGCAACATTCTCCTAGACTCCAACATGAGAGCCAAAGTTGCCAATTTTGGTCTAGCTAAATCAGGGTGCAATGCTATAACAATGCACATTGTAGGTACTCAGGGGTACATCGCCCCCGAGTACCTAACCGATGGGATTGTATCCACTAAGATGGATGTTTTCTCATTCGGAGTTGTGTTGCTCGAGCTTGTGTCAGGGAAGGAGGCTATCAACGATGAAGGGAAAGTCTTGTGGGCAAAAGTTAGTGATTTTTCAGAAGGGAGTGAAGAAAGGAAGGTGAGTAAATTGCAAGAATGGATGGATGAAAGTCTTTTGAGGGAAGAATTAACTATCGAAAGTGTTGTGAATGTGATGTCTGTGGCTATTTCATGTTTGAATAAAGATCCTTCAAGAAGGCCAGGCATGATTGAAATTGTGTATGCGTTGTCTAAAAGTATTGATCTATTTTCTGATGTTTCAGAGGAGGGACTATCTCCAAGGCAAGTCACAGCAAGATAGACTACATAATAGTACAAGCATATTATGTAAAGTTGTTTTGAAGTGGAGTAGCATTTTGTGTTTTGAGGTTTTTACTTTCCTTAAAAGTTTTTCTTCTATATATGTGTAATATTACTCCTATATTATCTTCTATAGTAGTAGTGGTAAATCTAATTCAGAATAAAAGCATGTTTAAGGTTGTTCTAGTGTAATTCTTTACAATTACATGTATTAGTTATGCAGTTATCTAAATTGCAAATCAAACACCATATTGATTTTATAATGAATAATTTACCTCCTAAATCAGCTAACAAACATGATATTACTTATTAAGAACCCGATACTTGCATAACTCAACTCCAAACCAACTGCCAACCGACCTTGAATGAAAAGTATTTTCCCTAATTCTTGCAATAGTTAAATGTACCTTGGAAAAAGATGTATCTCAGAAATAGCTAGTCCAAACATGTGAAAACATCCTGGAGAAAAACAACAAATATAAACACGAGTATTTTCTACAATATGGTTGACCAAAAACCCTTCTAGGTGGGACCAACAAATTGGAAAAAAAAAACCATCTTCCTTTAATGTTAAAGACAATACCATATGAGAAAATAAATAACAACAACCAATCAAATAATGCAGAAAATCCCCATCACTCATTAAATGGTCGAAAACCAAGACTATGACAAAAAAAACAAGAACTTTGGTATATAAACCTCTTATAACAACATCATATTATATACACACACATCTCTCCTTCAACAAAACACAAAACCAAGAAAATGATAACAAAACCAATATTTATTTTTTCACTTCTCTTCTTCTTATCATTCATATTGAACCAAAACATAATATGTTATGCACAAGAGCCACCAAGCATAACAGGATATACTTGTAATCCTGAGCAATTCAATCCATGTCAAACTTATGTGTTATACAGAGCTAGAGCACCAGAGTTTCTTGATTTAGCCTCAATTGGTGATCTATTTTCAGTAAGTAGACTAATGATAGCAAACCCTAGTAATATTTCCAACCCAAACACAACTCTTGTTAATGATCAACCCCTTTTTATCCCCATCACGTGTTCTTGTAACAACATCAACACAACTTTTGGTAGCATATCTTATGCTGGCTTTAACTACAGTTTCAAATCAGGTGACACTATGTATGGTGTATCAACATCTAAATTCCAAAACCTTACTACTTATCAATCTGTTGAGGCTGTTAATCCAACTGTTGTACCAGAAAACATTGACATAGGTCAAGCTATAAAATTCCCAATTTTTTGCAAATGTCCAAACACAACATCTTCACAAAATCAACCAAGACTACTCATAACTTATGTTTTTCAACCTAATGATAACATTTCTTCTATTGCCTCAAGATTCAGAGTAACCCCACAATCTATAACACAAATTAATGGAAATAACACCAAGATTCTTGATACCCTTTTCATCCCTCTTTCTAATCTACCTAATCTTACACAGCCAACATCATCAAACACCCCACCCCCACCCCCTACACCCTCAGCACCAGTAAATCAAGAAAAAGACAGAAAAGGAACTGTTATAGGGTTAGCAATTGGTTTAGGGGTTTGTGGGGTTTTGTTGATTTTGGTTCTTGGTTTGTTTTACAAGGAGAAAACAGGGAAGAAAGAAGGGTATGGTGATGTTGAAAGACAAAAAAGTTTGTATCTTGGATCAAAAAAGGGGTCTTTTGTTGATAAAGATGTTGAAGTGAATTTGTTGGCTGATGTATCTGAGTGTTTGGATAAGTATAAAATGTACAAAATGGAACAAATTTGGGAAGCAACAGATGGATTTGATGAAGGGTGTTTGATACAAGGATCTGTGTATAAAGGAACAATTGATGGTGAAGTGTTTGCAATCAAGAAAATGAAGTGGAATGCTCGTGAAGAACTCAAAATTCTGCAAAAGGTAAACATTTTTACTCAACTTTCTATACTTTGGGTATCTTTTCAAGAATCACTTTTGTGGACTAATTGATACGGAGAAAATGATAAACATGGACCAATTCGGGTTGAGGTAGCGTAGTAAGTAATTTGTCTTTCATTTTAAATTTTTGGATTTGAGTCATCTGAATACGAAGTTATTTTTGCTAAGAAGCGAGCTATTATTATTAATAGAGAATTTGCTATATATTTGGTATGTTATCAAGAATTGTTTTTGTGTACTAATTAATGTTTGAGAAAATGACGAAATGATTTAGTAATTAAAGATTTAAAATTTAAATTTCTTAGGTATGTTATTTTAGTTAGAAAGTGCATTTTAATATGATTTTAAATTTAATTAAACTTTATAATGAATAACAAACTACAGTAAAAGGAAAAAGAAAACATGGTACATATATGTGGAGGGTTGATTTATAATAGTTTTTTAAGTATGTACTATATTTGATAGTTTCCATTTTTTAAGTTTGTTAAAAAGTAATATATTTAATTTTTCATATAATATTTATTGAATATACATGTTAGATTTTTGGAGCTTGATTAGTTTTGATTTGTTTCTATAATTTAGTGTTTTTTTTTTTGAGGTGTGAAGTTGTCTATATGCCATGTTTTCTGCAGCATATTTTTAGATATCAATAAGATCTTTTTAGTTTTTATGATTAAATTATTAATTATTTTGTCAAATTTAATAAACATAAATTATTGAGTATTTGAGAAGATTAAAAGTGTCAACTTTTGATAAATAAATTCAATTTAAGGAATTATTTTGAACAATATTCTCCCTCCTTAGAGGCTATTTTTGTCATTTTCTCAACTGATATTTTAGTAATGTTAAATTCCACCACAGAATTGTTTTTCCTCCAATGGATCAGATTAAGTATTTAATTTTAATAAAATATTAAACAATTTAAATTATTAGGTCTAGTGACCTGTCGTATTCTTAAGACATTAGTACTTTATTTAAATATTTAAGTGGACCATTATGCCCGTTGGGATTTGATAATTTATAATTTAAGCTAATCTACATCATTTAATACTCAATTTATTTGTCCTTTGATGTCTATCTTTTCATTAAAAATACTCCTCTTTTTGTTTCTCAATTATTTCCCTCGCATATCTGCTATTAAAGTCGAGCGTATATCAAAAATAAATTTTTTATATATTATTTTTTTAATTTTATTTATAAAATTCTCACCAGATATATTGTTATTGCAATAAAAAATTAGATATTAACATGATATCTAGAAATAATTTTTTCTTTTTTTTGGCCATAGAAAAGAGCATCTTTTATTAATAATTTATTATATTAAGACAAAGTTCAAAATAAATTTTCTTCCTAAATGAAATTTCTCGTATTTGACCTCATTTTGGCTGTACTATTTTGACTAGAAGTATTAGTTAAATCCTATTAAATGAAGAAAACGTCATCAAGTCCTATTTTGCAGCCGTTACTATAATTAGGGCGTCGTTACAATATTAGATATTGGTCCGATAAATCAATAACTTTTTTTTAACAATGTATTATGTACTATTCTATTGAAAATTGTCATTCTTTTTCGAACATAGTTATAAGATTTGTGTATGCTCTATTTAAAGACTGATACGGGATTCTTATGAAGTGGTGTCAATGATTTAGGAACTTTTGCAACCCCTTAACCACTAGACTAAACTTTCTACTTGTGTCAAAAGATATCAATACTTATATATACAATGTGATTTTCCTCGACCAAGGGTAGGTTGACCCCTGACTCTACCATCTTCAGACCGTACTTTGTGCAGGGTAGGTCCACCCCTGACTCTACCATCTTCAAATCGTACTTTGTGCATGACATTGAATATGTTATTATTGCATTGTATGGCTACTTAACAATTTCCTCCTTTTTTTTGTTTTGTTTTGTGTAGGTGAACCATGGGAATTTGGTGAAGCTAGAAGGTTTTTGCATAGACCCTAAAGAAGCAAATTGCTTCTTAGTGTATGAGTATGTTGAAAATGGTTCACTACATTCATGGATTCATGGTGAAAAACCTGAAAAATTGAGTTGGAAAACAAGACTAAGAATTGCAACCGATGTTGCAAATGGTCTTTTGTACATTCATGAACATACAAGGCCAAGAGTTGTCCACAAAGACATCAAAACTAGCAACATTCTCTTAGACTCCAACATGAGAGCCAAAGTTGCCAATTTTGGTCTAGCTAAATCAGGGTGCAATGCTATAACAATGCACATTGTAGGTACTCAGGGGTACATCGCCCCTGAGTACCTAACCGATGGGATTGTATCCACTAAGATGGATGTTTTCTCATTCGGAGTTGTGTTACTCGAGCTAGTGTCAGGGAAGGAAGCTATAGATGATGAAGGAAAAGTCTTGTGGGCTAACATTGGCGATTTTTCGGAAGGGAGTGAAGAGAGGAAGGTAAGGAAATTGCAAGAATGGATGGATGGAAGTCTTTTAAGGGAAGAACTAATAATGGAGAGTGTTGTGAATGTGATGTCTGTGGCTATTTCATGTTTGAATAAAGATCCATCAAAAAGGCCAGGGATGATTGAAATTGTGTATGCATTGTCTAAAAGTATTGATCTATTTACTGATGTTTCTGAGGAAGGACTATCTCCAAGGCAAGTCACAGCAAGATAGGGCCTATATCTATTTAGTATATTATGTAAAAGTACTTTTGAAGTGAGTAGTATTTTTGTGTTTTGAGGTTTTTACTTTACTATAAAGTTTGCTTCTATAAATGTGTAATATTACTCCTATATTATCTTTTCTAGTACTACTTGTGAGATAATCCAATTTCAAATAAGAGGATGTTTTAAGGTTGGTCTAAGTCGAATATATATTATGTTGTAATGAGTTTGTTTTCTTTTATGTTATGTTGTTCGGATTTTTTAAAATTGTATATATTTTTTTGAAGAATTCAACATATAGTTGATAACATAGATTTTAAGAGATTGAACATCGTAGATTGTTTTGCCAAAATTGAGGGAGTTTAATGTAGGAGTGAAACAATATTTTACAACTTGTTCTTATTTATGTGTTGGTGCTCTTTTTTAATCATTTAAGCTTGTACGTATATCAATATTGTATCAGAGTCAAACTCATTGTTTATCTAGATGATGTTAAACTCCCATGCATGTTATATTATCCTTACTTTGGATTTCTGGTCCCGAGTGTTGCGTAAGAGTGTTAAGAAATCCTACATCAGTTGCGAAAAAGTAATTGATCTCCTGATGTAATTTTGAACAAGTTCTCCTCGTAAACTATTTTTTGGAGTTATGTCAAAGTGAGTCTTTTAAAAAATTAGTTGAAGAACTATGTAATAAAACTATAAATTGATTACAGAAACTAATGAAAACTTCCCTAGATTTGTTGATGAGAGTAGTCAAATTCATTTATTGATTGAACTATATAACAAAGAATTTTCAAATGTACATGATGTTTTAGATAGTCAACAATTCTACTTTAATTTGTTTGTTATAACTTGTAGATGAGAAGTTTTAAAAGTTTCTCCCATCTCCAATTTCAACAAAAATTTCAGAAAAACTTGGATTTATTTTTCTCATTTATTCTTAATCTTATTGTGTATGAAAGATACATTAACCATAAGTCAAAAGAGTAAAGAAGAAGTGCCTCAATATTTGCTGCATTTTAGGATTGCCAATATAAACAAAAAACAAACTACATAAGTCATAATAATGATAATAATTAATA